AAAATAAAAATAATAAAAAGTACCTTAAAATCAAGTCTCACAACAAAACATTAATTCCTACATAAACTGCACACTGGGTTTTATAATTAGATTGATTTCCTTATAAAATGTATTTTCATGTTGCATTTGCTCAGTCACCAAGGTCAATGCGAATAAATTCTATCTTCTGAAGGGACACTTTGTGGTCTGCTGAGAGATACTTAATTACGTGTATCAAAGATCTCAATACAAAGCCCAGCTAGGTTCTACAAATGGAGCACAATGAATGGCTGTGTGAAGCAAAGCAGTTCTAAATTTTAACAAAGCCTCCCTGCCTTCTCCCTTCCCAAAACATAAAGCTGTGTTTAACACAGGAGAAAGAAAAATACTATCATTAATCAGAAATAAGGTGACCTAAAGTGCCACAGCATATCTCATTTGCTGTTTTGAGTTTTCCTACATGAGGCCAGAAACTGTGGTGTAAATGACCCTATGTATACTACCCCCAACCTCTAATTATATTTAGCAGTGACATCCTCAGAAATAAGTCTTTGCCTTGGACTATTATTCTGACAAAGCTGGACTGTGCACAGCACAGCTGAGACACCAACAAGCGATTTATCATCACAAATTGACCAGAACTCTACATGGAGGATGTAAAGCACACAATAAACCCACGGTGAGAAATGACGTGGCAGTGTGGAGGGGAAAATGAAGTTGTAAAAGTATACGCTAACTGTATTTAGTTGTGGGGGAGGGGGCATGGGGTAAGAAGGATACTTGGAGTTGTGGGCTCAAACTAGACACATATCTTTCAAGCAAGTTAGACTTCTAATAACTCATCTATAAAGTGAGCCCATTAAACCAGATGATTTTTAAGGTCCATTTCAAATCCCAGAAAATCAAGGAATCTAACATTTCAAGCCCTTATGAAGCCCAGGAAAAATTTGATAATGCTGAAACACAGCAATGGTATTAAAAAATAGTTCAAGATGAACATAAAACTAGAGGGCATTATAATGGCATACAAAGAAGTATTAAATATTCTATACCCCTGCAGAACAACTGACAAGTATTTAAACCCTATGCTTCCTTTTAATGGCTGCTTTTCTTTACTGAAGACATGACTGAGTTAGCATAGAAAGAAAAGTCCAAACTGTCAGCTTTCAGTCCTCCACATTCCCCTCTTTAATATGGCATTTTGCACTATATACATTAATGAAAATTTGAAACAAACAAAAAGAACTTTAGTCAAACTCCCCTTCCTCCTCCAGCTTTATTGGATAGTTTAAAATTACATTTCTATTTTCTAGGACTTCAGTCGCTTTTTCCATCTGACTTTAAAAAACTGATTACAGCAAATGAAACACAGTTGTCTAAGTGATATAGTATACAAAAATAACATCTTGATTTCTGTGAAAATGCATTTCTCTGCAATTCCTGAATAGCTCCAAATTATGCTAGCTCTGAGCATCGATGTTTACTCTGGGTTTTAGTCTTTGAAAAAAATGTGTTCTAAACCTTTGCCATCACCATGTGTATATCCAGCATCAACTCTGTGATGAAGTTGTTTCTGTTTAGGCTTTTATCCTGATTTCTCTCTCGCGTAGACATTAACACACGTGTTTGTCTTTTTTTGTTTACTCCCACTCAACTGAATGTTCTATGTAGGGCCTGATACAGATGTTACTTGATGTTATTTAATAGCTACTGAGGTCAGACAATCCAAGGCCATCATTATGCTAAAATTAAAGTTACTTACAGAAGTTCATAGACACTTCCAGAACTGGTTTTGCCTCCTACATGGGAACACTTCAAGAAACCCAGAACGGGCTTACTGGTCTGACTCAACGCTTCCCATTCATTAATCCCTATTCACCAGTGGCGCAGAAAGGGGGTTCTTTAACAAAGCATTATACATAACACCTCTACCAAACTAAACATAAACTTTTTTTTTTGTAGTTAAATGCAGAAAGTCGATTTTTTTCCACCCCTTTCCTCCTTTTACACGGCAAGTAAAGCTCACTGGCCTGGGAGTAGCCTCTATCTGCCAACCTTTGGCCAGTGAAGAGGATTCAGAGAAAATAATACAACCATCAATCAGAAAAAGGAGGGGCGACAAAGGAAAATAATTAAGCTGTAGCCTCAATTGTGCATTCCCGTGCAAGGTGCCCTGACTCGCCACAGCGGTAACAGTTGACTTCACTTGTCTTGCTGCAGTTGATGGCTACATGACCAGTTTCACCACACCTAAAAAAGAAATCAAGAGTTTTCACACTGGTGTTCAGAAAATGTAAATCTGCCTACCAATGCAACAGACGCTGCAGAACAAAAAGTCACAACAAGCTTAGCATTTTTCTGTTTTAAACAATATATCTCACCATTAATCTCTAAACCTGAAAACAATGATAGAAAGAATAAACAACAGAGCTACTCTCAACTGTACAGCCTAAGCCATAAAACTCAAATTTTCTCCATAAGACATCAACCAACATGAAGACCAAAATAGTGGCCAAGATCCACTGGTTTTTTTTTTTGGAAATTAATGCCTAAGGTTTCACGGGTGTGTATGTGACAAAATTTATGCAACTGTATGCTTTAAAAATGTGCAGTTCACTGTAGGTCACATTCACAAACAAGCAAAAGACTTCTGCTTACATGACAAACTAATATTTATACATACTAATTACACAATACATTAATAAATTAATTCCTAGAAAAACAGTCTCTGAGAATGGAAAGGCAACTGGGATTGGACTAGTCAGAGACGTTTTCGGAGGGCATTCTAGAATGGCTAACTGGTTTTTTTTGGGGGAGGGGGGTCTCCGCAAGCTTCAAATATTACAATATAACATTCATATTTTTTAAGTTCTAAGATCCCACAGTTGTATGTTCTGTCCAGTTGCCATAAGCCACAAGCTATCATGGTAGAACACGGACTGCTGTGAAGATAGGTTGCTGGTTGTAAATGTCAAAAATCAGTCTTATCTAGTCTCAACTGAAATTTCACTGAATGTACTAATCCAAAAGGTGCTTCTGTTTATAGCGAATTCATCTACACAATTTCTGCAATGAGCTTCTTCTACCAACATTTTAATAACTTACCTATAGCACTTCACTTTGGTGCAGTCTTTTTGAATGTGTCCAAATTCGCCACAAGAATAGCACTTCTGCTCATCAGCATGGTCACAGTCACGAGCAAGATGGCCTGGTTTGCCACAGTTGTAGCAGCACTGCTCTCGCTCTCTCTTGGGCTCCTTGCAGTCCTTGGCAATGTGACCACCTCTACCGCAGTTATAGCAGGCTTCAACAATAAGGAAAAGAAGCAGACCAAGACTATAAAACCTTTACAAAAGCATTGCTACATTTTAAACTACACAATACAGAACCTCAAAAGGGGAAAATCCTTCCCAGTGCTATGCTGCAGTAGTACATGCTCACCTCTCCTAGTTCTAGTAGGGTAGGAAAAGGAAGTGTTAAATACTTACCATCCTCCTGAAGGTCACAATCCTTGGCAAGATGACCAGACTCACCACAGCGATAACAGATGTCTGGAAGAGACGAGGAAACAAACTGGAAACCTATTTTGAGCAAAAACAAAAGAATTTGGCTAATCAGACGAGTCTTGATACTAATAAATATTGAAATACTTCAATTTTTTTTATTCGACAAAATACCTCTATCCGAGGTAAAACCACCTCTGCCACGGCTTCTCATTCCACGACCACGGCCTCCTCCAGTAGGACATTCCCGAGCCCAGTGGCCAGATCGCCCACACTTGAAGCACTCATTGCTGCTCATGGCTGCAGTTATGTCTTCTAAATATTAAAAATGGTAACATTAAACCACCTGCAATTATTTTTCACTTTTAATCCCCCTTTAACTGTATTTTTAGAAAATTATTCCAGGAAAAAGTCTGCCAATATATTGTTTAGAAAAATTATCACAAGTCTATATGCTTAACCATTATATACCTATTATAAAATATTAACTTTTATGTATTAACATGGGTAATTAAGATACATTAATAGAAGGCCTTAGGCGGCACAAATGGTTAGGAGCTCAACTACTAACTGAAAGGTTGGTGGTTCAAACCCACCCAGAGGTGCCATGGAAGAAAGGTCTGCAATCTGTTTCCATAAAGATTACAGTCAAGAAAACCTTATGGAGTATAGTTCTCTGTAATACATGGGGTCACCATGAATTGGAATCAACTTGATGGCAATGGGTTTACCCCAAATTTGATGTCCCCCTCCTTGCTCGAATTCTCTTACATTCTAAATGAAAATTTTATATATATATATACATAAAGATATATTAAAGGTGGGGAAAAAACATTATAAAACACTGTGTATCTTTTCATAAAATTTATCTTTAAAACCATTAAGATGAACCCATATAGATTAATACAGTTACTGACAGAGTGACGGGATGAGATTTACAGGGTTAGTGTCAATGAACTTCCATTACTGGACATAAGGAATAGTAATTCATTCTAGATCCAACCTACTGGACACGTTTTCATGGTTATAATCCAGTAGCTTTATTTTGGGCAAACAGAAGTCATTTACTGTTCAAAAACTGGAATAAGCCAAACCAATGGAGCTATAGCTATAGATTTGGGGAGTGAGGGGTGGGTGAAGAAAAATAATCTCTCTCAAACCTTAGCACCTAACATAGTCCCTTAGTTATACGACAGCACTCAAATGCTTGCTAATTGAGATATTCTTTAGAATGGATTTAAAAAAAAAAAAAAAAAGACACGAATGTTATCTTTAGAGAAGACAAATGTATTTTAAAATATTAGAAAAATGACCAGAAAGCGGTACATCAAAATAATAGCACCTATAGCACTGGGACCTTCTTTCTTCCTCCTTATACCACATTTTTCTGCAATGTAATTTTAGATTTAAAATAAGGCTATTTGGAATTCCACAATAGATTCCTTTATTAAACCAAAAAAAAACCCAAACCTGTTGCCGTCGAGTCGATTCCGACTCATAGGGACCCTACAGGACAGAGTAGAACTGCCCCACAGGGTTTCCAAGGAGCACCTGGTGGATTCGAACTGATTCCTTTATTAGTTACCACTAAAATAAAATTAAAAACTCCCACTAAATCAAATGTATTTTACACTTTACATAACAATCTAAAAATAAACTGAGGCTATTCCTAGTCAAGTGGCTTTTAAAAAAATAAACTAGCTAAAAACAAAAACACCATATTGTTTCAACCTAATGCAGAGATTGACTGGATAGTAAAATTAGCCATATCAGCCACACAGTCTCTTTCGCTCTTTTTCAAGCACCAAAAAACCACCCGGCATTTAGAAAAATGTAACTCTTTCAGTAACTGTTTTCACTGTTTCAAAAAGTTTCCACTGTCAAAAACATTCAAAAGATGCCAATACTCACTTATCCCAACTCTCCGGAATCAAATTTTCAAAGAATCTATCAACTCTTGCCACTTGCTATATGAACATATTACAAAGAAAAACAGATCTGGATGCATGGAATACTTGTAGTTCAGTGATTCCAATGTATAATGCACAATTCTAATCAAAAGAAATTAGCCACTGAAGGAGATTAAAAAATGTATTTTTACAGAATCTGAGGTTAGATTTGCTTTGTAACTGTTCTTACACTATTACTAATGTTAGCATTCTAAATTAAGTGAGGTACTGGTTTCCACCAGAGAATAGTCAAGCTAAAAAATGATCAGCATACAGACTGGATCATAAAATAAAGACTACTACACCTGAGTAATGACCTTCTTTAAAAACTTCTTTAAACAACAACAACAAAAAAACCTACTATAGGAGACCAAAGGGTCAAAAATTACTCTGAAGCAAAGATGAAATGGTAAGGGGGCAGGAAAACTATAGCACTAGAAATGGTGCAACCAGAACGCAATGAGAATAATGACACATTGTGAACAATATAACCATACCACTGAATAATGTGTATAGAAATTGTTAAATGGAAACCTAAATTGCTGTATAAACTGTCACCTTAAACACAATAAAATATTTTTAAAAATCTAGCAGTAGAAAGTAATTTAAAAGAAAAAAAAAAAAGAATGGCATATAATATGGTCAAAGAAAAAAGCTGTTTATGGCACCTCTTCCTCCTATCCCTATTTTCTTCATTGTTCATCTATTCTCCAGTTTGGTCAGATCATTTGAACACATTTAACTATTACAAAGAAATTATGATATGTCCTTTGACAATGTAATCCAGGCAATTTGACAAATCTTGAATATTTTACAATATTTAAACAAGATACTTACCTTTTAGAAAAGACAAGCAGAATTCTGACAATCCAATATTCAATATGCATTTCTAGAGCTCAAGAAATGATAGCTCCTACCATAATCTCCGCTTCAGACTTTTTTTTTTTTTTTTCAAAAAAAGACCTCTTCTTTATTTTATAATTGCAACGTACAAAGGAAAAGCAACGTTATAATAAATCACTGCAGTTAATCAGTGAAATAAAGCTGGCAGTTATAATTTTAGGTTTATCTTTGGCATAGAAATATTACTTAAAATTAATTACTCAAGAACTGATTTAATCAATCTGAAGATTTTTTCCACGAACTGTTTCTCTTTCTTCATTTTGCCTTCTGTTTACCTCTATTTGTGGGACACCTAGCTCCAGTGTAAAGAGGAAAAAAAGACAGGAAAAGAACTATTTCTGGAAAGGAGACAATTAGCTAAAATGACATTGTAAGATTGCATATTAGACTCTACCTCCTAACTCCCAACTGAAAGCTGGTTAAAAACGTGATCATTTGGGTATAAACTATAAACGACATTTAGAGAAAGCAGTATTTCTCCACTTAGATACAAAATAATCTAGTTAACAAAGTATCTTACAAGATTGTAATTAAACTATTCTGAGAAAAGGCACAACTCAGTGGCATAGGAAGAATTTCATACTTTGTAACAGTATAGTTTTGAATGTTTGGTTGGCCCATCAGCAAATATTAGCCTCATATAATTTTGTTTTCTAAAGTAAATTAAGGTAAAAAAACAAAAACCTAGTAAGTCTTAAAGGGAAAAAACATTAACCATTAACATCCGAAAGACCCATCATCAGCTAAGACACAGGCTTTTTAAATAGGTCTCTCCAGTGGGTTTAAGTAATGTGTATGCAATCTGCTTTCTCCACCATCTTGGCCAAACCAGTTATAAACAGTGAATCAGCTAGTCTATGCTTTCACTCTGGTCCCTTGTGATGGACTTGTCTCTTTAATAACCCATTAAACCAACTGGGTCCTGCTATGTTTTTCGAGGCATGCTACCTATCCTAAGAGGCAGTTACCCGTGTTAATATACACCTTGTATACAAAAATTTATTTAGTTAAAAGGTCTTTAAAGAATTTAATACTATTTCTTATTAAAACTAGAGACAGTGAGGTTAAGACAAAATCTGAGCGGAGAATTAATGGCTCCGTGACCGCTCTTGGCTGGAATTTTGCTGTATGGTCCTGTCCACCTGTCACAATCTTTTCCAACCTTCGAGGGCCAATTCAAATGGCAATTCTATAAAAGAATCTGACATCACCCAGCCTGGAACTCTCCTTCCTATCAAGACCCAGGGAGCTTTGTTAGTATCTGTCCGATAGCACTGCCATATTGCCTTTTATCATATTCCTTGAGGGGAGAGACCAAGTAGTAATTCACCTTTGAATCAGCATAGCACCTCATGTATTTATCCTTTTAGCAGCAGTTATGTAACTCAGTATTTTAATTGCTTCCTTCAGTCTAGGGGGAAGGGTTTCTAATAATCATTTGTTGAATGAAACCAATTGTGCATCTTATAGAGACCCAGCCCAATCTAATCAAGCACCAACAGTCAAATACCTAAATTTCTGTTACCACTCACAAGAATTATTGCATCATTAATTTTTAAAATAATGGTCCAAACAAGTGCATGGCTATAACCGAAAGGTTGAAGGTTTGAGTTCACGCAGAAGTGCCTCAGAAAAAGGCTTGGCAATCTACTTCCAAAAAACCAGCCACTGAAAACCTATGAAGCGCAGTTCTACTCTTACACAAATGTGGTCACCAGGAGTTGGAGTCAACAAGACGGCAACTGGTTTTTTCAATTATGTATTCATGAAGGACTGACTCACTCTCTGGAACTCCCAGCTTCCTGAAACACAGGTAAGATTCTGTGCAAACGAATTTTTAGAGACTACAGTTTTCAACTTCTCAAAGGGATCAAGGCCCACTGCTTTAAAGACCGAAGCCCTGGTGGAGCAGTGGTTAAAACCTTGGCTGCTAACCAAAAACTCAGCAGTTCAAATCCACCAGCCACTCCTTGGAAACCCTGTGGGCAGTTCTACTCTTGTTCTATAGAGTCACTATGAGTCGGAATCGACTCACAGACAAGGGATTTGTTTTTTTGCTCAAAGATATTCCTGATTAAAAAGAAAAATGGCCCAAAACAGCATTAACTTCCACTTACAAATGTTCTTTTCAGGCTGCCAATCTATACTAAAGCTAAGACTGGGAGAAACAAGGAAAAAATTGAATTTAATAAAATTGAAAAATATTTATTCCAGATTATCTAGTACTATATGCACATTTGACTGAGAAACATTCATCTAAAGTCACTAAAAACAGCCAGCAGCAGGGCCAGAATCCCTAACTTGCTGTTCAAGGCTCTTCCCATTATTCCAAGAATTCACAAGCAGCCAGACCTCAGTAATTACTTTACAAAATGCTACAAAACATATATACTAATATCAGATGAAAATCAAAATACTGTATTTTCACTGTGTCACCAAGCAGCAAAAGAGTATATATTCTCTTCCTTTTGCTGCTAAAATCCACTGATATACTTACACTGATGTATCCTGACACAGCAGAAAGATTTCAGGACCACAGGTAATCCTGAGTTTGAATCTCAGCTTAACCACTTGCTGTGTTACCTCAGAAAAGACACTCGAGCCCTCTGTCCATATTTGTAAAAGGGTGATATTAAAATGGATTTGTGAAATGGATAGTGGTGACAGTTGCAGAGCACGGTGAATGTGATTCATGTTCCTGAACTGTACACTTAAGACTGCCGAAACAGCAAATTTTTGTGATATATATTTTACAATAAAAACTGAATTGTAGTAAGAATTGTTACACTGGGGTGCCTTGTACTCAATTTAAAAGGATAAGGGTTTATGTCCTCTGCTTATGTAATTATTCTTTCCTTTCTGTATTTCTCCCAATTAAACTAGATTGCTTACAGGTGGACTTTGATTAGAACTCGGTCCAACGTCTACATAAAAGCAGGCTTAGAGTGGTGCTACCTCTGCGTATACTCATTTGTCATCTCCTCCCAACTCATAACTTCTGATGGAATGGAGAAGCGCTTAGAGAAAAAATGGATGATTTCCAAGTGGGTTCACATTTTCAACTACCAGAAATCAGATATTTGTTTCTAATTTTCAATTTCTGTGTATCAAATTTTCATGACATCAACCTCACTTAAAGAGGTGGTATGAGCTACAAAGGAGGCCTAGTGGCACAGTGGTTAAAGCTCTTGGCTACTAACCGAAAGATCACTGGTTCAAACTCACTAGCTGCTCCATAGGAGAAAGATATGGTAGTCTGTTTCTGTAAAGATTTATAGCTTTGGAAACCCTGTGGAGCAGTTCTGCAGAGGACTAACAGCTAGACTGTTGAAACTCTGATTCTAGAACTTCCTAGTTGTAAGGCTTTGGGTAAATGACTTCGTCTCATCTTCAGTTTTCTTATTAGTAAAATAGGAATAAGAATGCATGCAAGTTTGTAAGGATCATAGACAATATGTTTATAAGTACTTAACTCACAGTAGATGTTCAGCTATTAATAAAGCCCTTCAGAGGTAATCAGGGCAGACAGAAATAGGTATGATTAATCAGGGCTTCGAACTGGTTCATTCTGGTTGGAAACTCTGCTGAGAATTTGCATGTCCACACGAGATACACTGAATCAGAATCTACATTTTAACAAGATCCCCTGGTGATTCTTACGTATAAATTTTGAGAACCACTGCTCTACTAGTGGTTCTCAGAACTGGTCCCTAACCAGCAGCATTAGCACCCCTGGAAACTTGTTAGAAATGCAAATTCTCAGCAGGGGTTTGACCTGGAACCAGTTCAAAGCCCTGTAATAACCAAGGTCAGGCAGTAAATGCAGAAGCCAGGATAAGGACCTAGAATTGTTCCCAGTATTGTACTCTATTCTCCATCATTCCGGCCAGAATGTAGGTAATGCACAATGTATCAGCAGTTAATTTCTGTTACAATAACATGAAGCGTTTCAATACCATGTTGGAACACTAAATGGACTTACTGGAGCATAGTAATCAGTGAGTGCATTCAGGGCGCCAAAGCTTCACTACAGTTTTACTGCAGTTAGGTCAACATAGTTTGAGTCGAGGATACCCTGAGCTTGGGAAAAATAACTAAGGGTACAGTAAATGTGAATACAGCTGTGTTAGAAAAACCATATAAAACAATAAAGCTGGCCAGATACCCACTGTACTTTGCTGACGTGATCTTTACCCTCGGCTTTCCTATTACTTATTTTAAATGTATTTCCTAGGATAGAAGGAGTTTTATGGTTGTTTTATTCATTGGAACTTATAAGTTTTGACCAAGGATTATTAGATTTAAGCAATGGACTGGCTTTGTTCTTAGTATCAAAAGTGTGATACGACTGCTGCTATTAATAATGAAGATAAATTAGTATAATTATTTGAGCTTTGATACCAATTGTTAGGGTCAAGTGATAAAGAAAATGCTATCAACAGAAGGGTACCAATTCGATCCCTACTCCAAAAATGCTACCCTACTCCAGAAATACTACACAACATTACAACTACATAGCAAGCAATTATAAAAAGCATGTTAATTTTAACACAAAAAGTTATTTGTTCTGTATTTCTTTAGATAAATCAAAGTAGAACTGATCGCTTTTTAAAAGCCCACAGCCATAACTACGAATTTATTCACAGTATACCATCACACAGCTTTCCTGAATTTTAAGCCAAGATAGATTTTTTTCTTAACATTCTACAAGGCAGAAGTGTCACCACACACCCCAAAACTACCAACCTAATTTCGTTAGTTACTACCCACATTTGTAATTATGGAACCACTCCAGGTGATCACTGTAACATATGCTCACACTCCTAAGTACCTATACCCTTCCACTTACAACTTGAATTTTGGTGGCTACAAGCTCTCATTTTATTATTCCAGCAGTTTTTTCCAACATGAAAATGCTGCAGAGCTTACTGGAATCTCTCAATGGCACTCCCTTACTGCAGTACATCTAACACTGCCAGAACAGGAGTTCTATTAAGCAAGACAGTATGTAAAGACTGTTCACATAGCAGCTATGATGCCTTGGCCTCAGTCTTCTGGCTCTCCTTTATTGTCAGGAGGCTAGGAAGAAAAAAGGAGCCAATAATTTAAAAAAAAAAAAAAAACAACTCCCACTCCTGCAGGAAAGAAAGCAAAATCTCTGTGTCAAGTGTTTAGCCAATAGACCAATCACTCCAATTAGTCAAATGTGGTTCTATTGCTGTTAAGCACCAATTTGGTACTTTCCCATATACATACTACATATATTTATCGTTAGATTTTAAATGTAAAAAAGAATCCAAACAGTCATAAAATCATATTACAAAATGAATTTATAATACCTTAAAAAAGAAACCACTCTGCCTGTTTCCAGATGCTCAAGTGCTAGTGTAAAGAAATGTACCTTGGTTTTCCACTGATTTAGCTCAAAGTAGTTTAGAATCTTCACATCTGTTTGTGATATATTACCTCTCGTTATCAGAATATGGATTTTTTGGATCCTAACACACAAATTTTCTAATATGACATATGTAGATAAGTACACGGTTTTTTTTTTTTTTTTTTTTTTAACTGTTACCCAGTGGTAACTGCAATTTGGAAATGTTTTAAAGTTTACAATTCAGTCCTTGGGAAGCTAACAAAGTATTCCTTTTATACTCTAGTACAGAGAGCTTACTTGTGGACAAAAAGCAGGCTCAACAAGCTAAAAACAGCACACACCTAGTTAGTTACCTGGCACTTTGGAGGAGTTTGATAAGCATTGATCAGAATAATTCTTTACAAGCATTTAAAAAAAACTGGTTTGCAGGGGAAGGAAAAGCCTTGGAGCCAGGGACTATGTTTCATACATCTTTTTCAAGACCCTGAAAGCCTTATGCTCAATATGTAGTGCTTGGACAAATGATTAACATGAGGCTGCTAATTTAAATTCTAAGGTCACCTCACTGAAGCAAAGATTAACTGGTTTCTCTCCAAGGTTGCATCACACAAATAGGGAAAGAAAAAAAACCTATTTTCATAAAACCTTGTAATTTGGGGCAGGGTGAAGATCCTCTTTTACTTAAAAAGAAAAAAAATCAAAAAGCCAAATCCAGACTCTTGGCTTATGCTACCCTTTATGTGAGTTCTTCTGAATAATGCCTGAGACACACTACCTGAAGTCACAGACCATTACTGAATTTTTTTTTTTTTTTAAGACCTCCCCCCTCCAAGATCAGACATAGTCACTTCCTTTGGAACTGCCCTGTGGCTGAGGCCATGTGGTTAACATGTGGCAACAAGGATAACGCCTTACCCATAATAAAATCAACACCCAAGCCCAAATGTGGGCGATTATGCCATCCTAAAATAGGTTTTCACGCTACTGAAAACAGATAGAGGTTGGCTAATTTCATATTTTATTTCTAGATTAAATTATAAATGCTTAATTAATACAATAAATAACATAAAGACTACCAATCCTATGGTTTTGGAGGTTTGAAAAATTTAGGAGTTTTTTTGGTAATGAGATTTTTAAACGGCCCCTCTAAAGTCATGTTGATTCAAGGAAAGCGAATTCTATCAGACGCTTTTCGAATGGCAACGTAAGACAATTAAGAGCATTTGAATGGCAATAAAAACTTAAGAACAGGAAGCTATAAAGTACAGATCGTACGGAATTCCAAAGGCTCCCAAGCCTCACTGCAGGGCACCCTGCCACCCCAAACACAAGCTCTTCTTCAGGACCTTTTTTAAGTCCACCAGAAACCTTGTCTGGGCACATGGCCCGCAAGGCCCACTACCCCGGTACATGGCCTGCAAAAGTACCCATCCCATCCCCCTCCATCCGCATCTAGGGGCCTTCTCCCACCACACGGCCTCCTGCCAGGAAGTTCCCGCCAAACTGACCCTCAGTCCCTCATTCGGCGACCCTCGAAGCCCCAGGTCTCCACCCCAAGGGCGCACAAATCCGGGCCTCTTTCGCCGTAAGCCTGTGGACTGCGGTGCGGCCTAGGCTCTGGAAGAGGCCCAGAGGCGCGGCGGCCCAGCTTCCTAGGAGGGAAGCAAATGCGGGAGGGTTGCCTGACTGCGGCGGGCCGGGAATCCGGGCCCAAGGCGACGGCAGCAGCCGAGTTTCCCACCTGACGCAGCAACGGCGCAGGCCAAAGTACGGCCGCCATCGCCGCCTCACCGCTCCCTAACCCCCTCGTCTGCCGCGGGCCAGAGGCCACCCCGCGGCTCCCCTAGCCCGGGCCCCCACTTCCGGCCTCACCTTTGGCGTCTGAGCGGACCCGCAGCAGCGGAGACTCGGACGCAGCCCGGGGGAAAGCGGCTCGCAAGATAGCGGCTGTTTATTTTCAGAGTCCTTGCCTGCGCCACACGCGGATCTGCACACGGCCCCACATACTCCGCTGCGCACGGCTCCCTCCGCCTCGCCCACGCAACCAATCAGCGCGCGGGGACCGGCGGTCCAATCAGAGCCGTCGTGAAGAGGGCCGCCCAGCCCAAGCGCCGCGCGGGACGCTCTTCTTCCTCCGCGCGCGGTGGCTTTTCCCGTCGTGCCCCGCGCGCGGCCTTTCCCGCTCCGCGACCCCAGCCCGGTCCCACTCTGCGACGGGACCCAGCAGGCATCGGGGGAGCGCTTCCGACCGTGTGCCTCTATTCTGAGAGTCCCCGCTGTAGCCATCTCTCCCTGCAGCCGGCGACGATCGTTGCCAGGGGACGGGTGTCAGTGAAGAGACTGTGGTTAGCGCGGAACCAGGGAAGATTTCTCCCTTCTTGGGCTCCGAAGAAAGCGTCTACCCCTAGGCCTTTGACTCGATCGGGACACACTTTCAGAACCAGGCCCAATTTTCTGTTACACACATCTAAGTTTGTTTCAGAGTCGGGGCTGCAAGTCGTGGAAGTGGATGTAGTTGCAGGCCCTGCGGTTTTGCGTGAGCCTGGGCAGAGCCGGGAACGCCTTGCTGCTCTCCCGGCCAGGACTGCTATATCCAAACAAAAAGAAGTGCCTGATGAGGGAAGGAAAACTGCCTTGGGGAGGGAGTGAAGATGGTGAAGGGAAGGAAACTGAGACGTCTCTGCGTCATAATACAATCATGGCACCTGCTTGACACATTCACAAGTGACATTCTCTGGAACTTAAGGGGTAGGGAGGGTGCAGGAGAGCCATTTGGCCCTGGACGATCACATTCAAGAATAGATTTAATATAGATTTGGTATTTTCAACGAAGGATTGTGTATGTAATCACAGATACTTGGTCAAGATTGAAACCAAAAGGCTCTCATCCAATTTAAATTGTTCAGTGTGAACTAGAATATTCTAGAACTTTGTGTATGTTTTTAATCAGGAACATGGAATATGAGACATGAAGGAAAAAAAGTAAGAGTCCGAGTCTCTTGAACTCTAAATCCCCCAAAAACCAAACCCATTGCAGTCTGACTCAAAGCAACCCTGTAGGACAGAGTAGAGCTGCCCCATGGGGTTTCCAGGCATCAGCTGGTGTTTAGCAGCCGTAGCTATTAACCACTGCGCCCCTAGGGTTCCTCTTCATCTCTAAAAGGCCCTGAATTACTAGCCTCATACTAAACTTAATTTTGGTCCTTGAGGGCAGCATCCAGTCCATGTTGTTGGCTACTGTATTTCAGTGATGTACTTTTCATTCCTTTAATGACTCTTATTCTTTGAAGTTAAGTGCACAGACCTATTAAGATGTTAAAACTGGCATGAACAGTCTAGTGTGTAGCATTAGTTCTGCCAGTAGCTGTGTACCCACTGAAACGAAACCCACTGTCGTCAAGTTAATTCTAACTCGTAGTGACCCCATAGGGGTAAATCTTTTCTTTTTTCCCGTACAAAAATTTATACATACATTGTTATGTGACCCTAATTGCTTTCCCCATACTATGACAGCACACTCCTCCTTTCCACCCGATTCCCCATGTCCATTCAACCAGTTCCTAACCCTCTCTGCCTTGGCATCTCACCTCCAGACAGAAGCTGCCCGTTTAGTCTCTTATATATACTTGAGCTAAGAGGCACACTCCTCATGAGTATCAGTTTATGTCCCACAGTCCAGTCCAATCCCTGTCTGAAGAGTTGGCCTCAGAAATTGTTTTAGTTCTGGGCTGATACAGAATCCAGGGGCTATGCTTTCTGGGGTACCTCCAGTCTCAGTCAGACCATTAAGTCTGGTCTTCTTACCAGAATTTGAGTTCTGCACCCCACCTTTCTCCTACTCCATCCGGGGCTCTCTGTTGTGTTCCCTGTCAGGGCAGTCATTGGTGGCAGCCGGGCACCATCTAGTTCTGGTCTCAGGCTGATGAAGTCTCTGGTTTATGTGGCCCTTTCTGTCTCTTGGGCTACTACTTTCCTTGTATCTTTGGTGTTCTTCATTCTCCTTTACTCCAGGTGGTTGGGACCAATTGATGTATCTTAGATGGCCACTTGCTAGCTTTTAAGACCCCAGACGCCACTCACCAAAGTAGGATGCAGAATATTTTCTTAATAAGCTTTGTTATGTCCCCTGAAAGTGTGGTCCCCAGACCCCTACCTGCTACTCTGTCCCTCAAAGCCAAGCACCACTGGGTAAAGTGATTGCTAACTGAAAGGTCAGCAGTTTGAAACCACGAGCCACTCCAAGGGAGAAAGATGTGGCAGTCTGCGTATGAAAAGATTTACCCCTGCATCCTACTTTGGTGAGTGGCGTCTTAAAAGCTAGCAAGTGATATTAAAATGGGATTTTGTATTTACATAGTTTTATCTCCAAGAAACTTACACAGCTTTATAGATTTTCCCTCCTTAATTTGATTAATCTTTATAATATCTTGAGGTAGAGAGTGGTTTTGCAATTGCAGACACTTAAGTAGTGACTTCCTAAGCCCTAAGAGTGAGTTGGTATCATGCAAGAGGCTAGGTATGGAATCCAGGCTGGTTCATCCACAGCGTGCCTGGAGGATGAGTTAAAATTGTTATTAAGAACCATAAAATTCAACTTCTCTGCCTTATTTCTTTGTTTACAATTCTAACCACAATGCTATATAAAAAGTTTGTTTTTCATTGTAGACCCAGGGGCTGAATGTTCTTAATATTAAAAAAAAAAAAAACAACAGTTAAAGAAAATAAAGTTGGGTGTGAAATAAAAGTACTGGACATTATGTTCTATAAGCTTTAAAAAGGAGCCCTGGTGGCATAGTGGTTAAAGCACTCAGCTGCTAACTGAAAGGTGGGTGGATTGGGAGAAAGATGTGGCAGTCTGCTTCTGTAAAGATTTACAGCCTTGGAAACCCTACAGGGCAGTTGTACTCTATCCTATACGGCCACCATGAGTAGGAATCCACTGGACTGCAGTGGGTTTGGGTTTTGTTTGTTTTTTCTGTAAAGGTTTTAAAAGACTTAAGTGTAAGGAATGAAAACAATGTGGCCTTTACTGTTGGGTTCCAGTGGTAGTTAACAGCTAATGGATCTTCTCTACCTGGAGTCTAGCTTTCCACAAAGATTATTATTAATAGTGCCAGACCAATCATGAGGCATTATGACTGTCTATGATGGAATTTAACCACAGTAGCTCATATTGCCTGGGTATGCCCTTGAGTAACACCTATTTCACTAGAGATGTTTGAAAATAAGAAAGGAGAAAGCCAGCTCACTCAAAAGATGAACTGCCAACTGTATTTGAAGATAGAGGCTCCTATCACATCTCCCTCCCCTGGAAATATGGTTATCCTCCCCTCCCCTGCAGCGTTCAGTCTCACCCAGGTGTTGTTCTGAGCACTGCAGAGGTTTCAAAGATGACTAGTTAAGATATAGACTTTGCCCTTGAGGAACTTGCACGTTAACAAGAGCTGTAAAAAAGTATTACGTAAATGTCTTGAGAGAGGACCAGCTAAAATACTATGATTCAGCATGATTCAGGATTCCTTTAAATGGGTACCAGTTGAGCAGCAATATCTGCCAACTCTTCGTTTCCGCTCAAATGCCTAACTGCATAGCACATGCCTTAGATTCAGCTATTAAATTGAGATATCAGATATCCTTCTAAATCCTTCCATGTCTTGTTTTCTCTACTAGCAAGGAAACGGTGCTTTGTGACTTTACTTAGAAAATATGTAACTAAGGTTGAATAGGATAAACTGATGCTTCCTTTCTGCCTCTCATGTCTGCTTCTGAAGTAGAAACTTGGTTTACTAAGCTAAATCCTGAAATAGGAATCAGTAATACTAATAACCAAAACCAAAACCCATTGCCATTGAGTCGATTCCAACTCCTCGTGACCCTATAGGACACAGTAGAACTGCCCCATAGAGTTTCCAAGGCTGTAAATCTTTACAGAAGCAGACTGCCACATCTTTCTCCCATGGAACAGCTGGTGGATTCGAACCGCCAACCTTTTGGTTAGCAGCCAAACGCTTAACCATGCACCACCAGGGCTCCTTATACTAAAAACAACTAATAGTTAATATATGTAAAGCTCTTATAACAGTGCCTGGCACAAAATAATTACGATTAAAGTGCTTCTTCTACTTCTTGTGCTTACTATGTGCTAGGCATTGTTTATAATCTGTTTACAAATTTTCACAAAAACCCTGTGAGATAGGTACTTTTATTATCCCTGTGAGGAAACAGGTCCAGAGAGTTTCAGTAATCTGCCCAAGGTCACAGAGTGAATAAATGACAGGGGCAGGCTTCAAACAGAGGCAGCCCATGTGCTTAAACACTTTGCTAGTGGCGTCGTAGGAACTGTTGAGACCTAATGCTACAGTTTCCCGTTGGCTCCTTAAACTGACCATGTAGGGAATTCTTGCTGATGAATGTAGGAAAATATGCAACCCTGATGAACAATTTAACAAGTGTTCCATCACATGACTTCTTCTTCTGTGGCCTTGAATTGACTCTCTACCTCTGAAAACCAACTGGTTATAGAAAACCAGTTTTAAAAGTTTAAAAGTAAGACCTTCCATTCTTTATCTCCTTAAAAGAAAAGGAGTGTCACAAAGGGTTAAGCACTTGACTGCTAACTGAAAAGCTGGCAGTTCAAACCCACCGAAGAGACTTCTGGGAAAAAAAGCCTGGCAATCTGTTTCTGAAAGGTCACAGGCTTGAAAACCCTATGGAGTGGTTCTACTCTGTAGACATGGGTTTGCCATGAGTCGGAATCAACTCAATGGCAACGCATTTGGTTTTTCGGTTCATTCATTTAAAAAAAAAGTAATTTCATATCAAGCGTCTAGATTATTTAGTTAAACTTGGAACTAGGTAGTACATGGCAAAATAATAGTATGCTTAAATTGCTTTCATATGGTATTTCACAAACTGTATCAAGTTGTTTTTTGAAAGAGCATTAAAATGTATAAAAATTGATTATGTAGTGCCATAATCTACAAAAATAATAAATGATTTGAAAACATTTTT